AATCTACTAGCGGTCTCCTTTTTTCCGATAGTTAGCTGTACAGCTTTACCCGCCTCAATGTCCCGACAACAAACCTCCATGTAGTCGGAACTAGCCTATTTCGGTTCAACAACGGCGGCGGTGGGGGCGGCGGCGGTTTTGACAGTTTCTGCGGCCGCAGAGCTACTGCTTTTGGGTTCATCTGGCTTCGCTGTTTGAAGAAGGTCCAGGCTCCGGAGATGTGGATGTCAGGGATGTGACCTTCCAGTTGTTAAATGTAAGTTTAGATTGACTGTATTTAGTTTTCTTCTGCGCTGGTTCTTCTGACATGTTTGTAAGCGTAGGCTATATATTCTTTCTATCTAGGTTAACGGCTGACACACAGAACAACGTAACAAATAAACAAATCTAAGCTTTTTTATTGGTTGTAATTTATATGGATACACTTGAATGGTGTGACAATATACAACAATAACAAAAAACAAAATATACACAGCTAGATCAGATCGCGTTTTAGATGCGACTTTACAGTAGAGGGGAATTATTGAAACGGGATTTGTACAGTGTTCCGTGCCGCGATACGTGTGTGTTTGTGTATTTTTGCGTTTGTGTGTATTGTGTTTGTTTCCCGGGGAAAACACTCACGAGAAACACCGGCTGTTGTTATGCCTGCAGTGACGTTAAATTACTCCGTTCTCCGCTTGTAATTATGCCGTTACAAGCTTCAAATTTGTCGGCCTATTTATCATCTGAATTTGCCGAAACAAGTTTAATATTCTGAAAGCCAAGAATTTGCTTAGGCCTATTTGAAATCAGATAAAAACAAACTGTAACGGACCCTGCCGTGTTATCTATGATTACTGTACCTTACATTCATAATTTCAGCGGGAGGGAGGGGGAGCGGCGCTGAGGAACAGCAGAGTGGCGAGTGAGAGCTGTCATCTTCCCTTTACAAGCTTCAAACATGCCTGTAGCTAGTGAGATTGAATATAATAATCAAAAATAACAAAATATACACAGCTAGATCAGATCGCGTTTTAGACGCGACTTTAGAGTAGAGGGGAATTATTGAAAAGGGATTTGTACGCGGCATCTGCTGCTGCGAAAATGTGGGGCAGGGCTGAAAAGTGGGGGGGCCAATGGCCCCCTGGCCCCGCCGCTTCCGGCGCCCTTGGTCATAGCACTCAAATCACTCCTTTTCAACCTAGAGCGAGATTTATTTTGACCCTTTTAAGGTCAGCGAAATCCTCAGATCATTCTCGCGCGGGGTGAAACAAGTATTTTGACATAGATACAAGCAGCTGAATCAACACGTTTCTTTTAAAACAACATTTTCAACAGTAAAGTTTAAAACGTGCACTATAAACTTTTGATTTGAAACGACAAATATTGGCGAAAATGTTGCCCCTATAATATTTAGACACGCTTTTGATAACCATTGAGATACTGGATACAGAAAGCGTCCTAAAGTTAAATCTAAAAATGTATTGTAAAAAGTTGCCATTTTGTTTATAATCAGTGGTCTTTGGTTAAATGTATTTTTAATTCTATCCATTGCTTCCCCTACTTGTTCTGAACAAATGTTTTACTGCACTCTCACTTTGTATTCCTAGTTCTAGTCAGCAGGTGGTGCCATTTGTTTCAATATCGTTAAGGTGAATGTACTTTTCTAAATTGTTTTCACTGTTGCTGATCTTAAAGTCCAAAATCCCAAAGTATTAAAATTAGGAATTCATTTGTAGATGGAGACTTCCCAGACAGATATCTATCAAAATATATTTATTTTGTTTATGCCATGTGGGAAAATGTTCCACAAATCTTAGAGCTAGTTGTATAATTTAAGGATTTCTCTAAAGATAAAGCAGATTTTTAAATCGTACTCCAATCAAATTATCAAATGTTAACACAGGCGTATTTTTCACATTGTGCCGTCTCATGAACCTTAAACAGACCAGAAATACCTGCATTCCATCACAATGAAAACATTGTTGCACACGTTGTCCAAACACGATCAACGAACCGTCCTACCATTTTAGTTGCTGCTGTAGCGGAAGTTTAGTAAAGTTATGTTTGCTTAAAGTCCATGAAATGTCCAAAATAAACGTTATTCTGTGTTAATAAATCGCTTCATCACTTTCCACTGTTTCATTTGACATATCAACATCAATGATTCTTTCCATAAATACCCCCCAAATAACATGAAATGTGTGCCACTTTCCCGTGTTATTCCGCTCCGGTAGCGAAAAGCTTGCCAGCCATTAACCCAGCTGTGTGACGTCACACGTGGCAAACACCAGCCTCGTCTGGATTGTTTGTTTTGTATCCTTCCGCTATTTTCGCTCAACATATGTGTAACCGGACCTCGCTAAACTTTTGTATGGGAGACAGCAGGTTGAAGGTAAGGACTGCGTCGAGAAAACGACGTGTTAGAAGGTCGTGGGGAGACCTACGTTGACAAAGTGGATGCGTTCAGTCGCGTTTTGTAAGTGGTGCGAGTGTTGATGTGGTGAGGCGAAGGTGAGTACTGTAAGACAATNCCAAGAATTTGCTTAGGCCTATTTGAAATCAGATACAAACAAACTGTAACAAATTATGAATGTAAGGCATATAGTAATCATAGATAACACGGCAGGGTCCGTTACAGTTTGTTTGTATCTGATTTCAAATAGGCCTAAGCAAATTCTTGGCTTTCAGAATATTAAAATTGCTTCGGCAAATTCAGATGATAAATAGGCCGACAAATTTGAAACTTGTAACGGCATAATTACAAGCGGAGAACGGAGTAATTTAACGTCACTGCAGGCATAACAACACCCGGTGTTTCTCGTGAGTGTTTTCCCCGGGAAACAAACACAATACACACAAACGCAAAAATACACAAACACACACGTATCGTGGCGCGGAACACTGTACAAATCCCGTTTCAATAATTCCCCTCTACTCTAAAGTCGCATCTAAAACGCGATCTGATCTAGCTGTGTATATTTTGTTATTTGTTATTATATATATTCAATCTCAGTAGCTACACGCATTTTTTAAGCTTGTAAAGGGAAGACCATAGCTCGCCTCTCACTGCTCTGCTCTTCCACAGCGCCGCTCCCCCTCCCTCCCGCTGAAATTATGAATGTAAGGCATATAGTAATCATAGATAACACGGCAGGGTCCGTTACAGTTTGTTTTCATCTGATTTCAAATAAACAAAGTCTTGGCTTTCAGAATATTAAACTTGTTTTGGCAAATTCAGATGATAAATACAGTTTTGAAGCTTGTAACGTCATAACAAGCGGAGAACGGCATAACAACAGCCGGTGTTTCCCGTGAGTGCAGTAATCCAAATGAAAATATCTTCCCTCCGTAGTATTTTGATCATTTGCTCCGCTAATAATCAATCAGATCGATGGATTCCAGAGAAGAGAAAACTTTGAAGGCCTTTTTCTCAAAATGATGCCTCGGTGACAGTCATTATATAATGTGACATATTTCGCTTAATATTTGGAGTACAAAAACAATCCTGATATCATTAGAAAGCTAGGAATATCCTGTTTCCAGCAGTGTATACAACTCAAAATGTGTCTTCGGGTCAATGCGACTGATTTCGATAGAGCAGGTCACATATGTAGAGATGTTCTTTTGTAGTGTGTGAAAGATATGGTGTTTGTAACATGTGAGTATTTCAATTTATAGGAGAAAATGGTTTACTGAAAGAGTGATTTTGAGTAAATATGTTACAATGGTTTAAATAAGACAATAAAGGAGTTCTGTAATATCATTAGGAGACATTCATTTTGTTGTTAAGATGGCATTTAACAACCAAGACAGATAGTATGATTAGAAAAAGACAGAGTGGAAAGGGTTGGATTTATTTAACCTCAGTGTGCTAGAATTTCTATAGGTAATGCGTCCCGAGACCTGGACTGTCCCTCTGCAATCAGCTAAGACCNTCAGACAATGTGATTTTCTTTTCTCATTTTGTCTCTCATAGTTGAGGTATACCTAGGATGAAAATTACAGGCCTCTCTCATCTTTTTAAGTGGGAGAACTTGCACAATTGGTGGCTGACTAAATACTTTTTTGCCCCACTGTATGTGATGTCATCATGTTCATGTTCACCTGTCTCTCCACCTCCTCAGTGATCTTCTTGATTTTGGCCTTACAGTCCATGGTTAACAAGTCCAACTGCTTGTCTATGAACTCCAGCCGGTCCTGGCGGTCCTCTTTGGTCTCAATGCAGTAGATTCTACCAACACACACAAACCACCAGGTGCTGCTCATTACCATTGTTCATTCTGTTTGTGCTTATGTAGAATAAAAAACTTTTATCTGATTTATTCACCCATGATCATATGCGTTTCCAATCTTTGGTTCACATGATCCATACAATTGAACAACCCACTTTTAATACCTGACTTACCTCTGCTCTTGCGCAGCCACGTGAACAGAATCCATGATGCGGCGCAGGGCTTCAGAGATCTGCTTTGCCCTCACAGTGTGCTGCTCAAACTTTGTCTTCACGGCTGACTGAGAGATGCACTCCTACACACAACAAGACACACGTTGATGTTAAAAAAAGAAAAAAGAACAAGACTATGACACCACTGGTATACAACAACATTTATCTGCAATATGTTCTGCTAATATTAGTATTATTACTACTGGCTGCTACTCCTAGTTAGTCCATCCATTACGGCAACAGGAATCTTAAGCAACTATGTGCAATAATAATTTTGCCACCACACTTCAGTCTACAGTGCATCTCTTGTACATTTTAATTATTATTATTTTAAATACTATGTGCATGTTCTATTTTCTTCGTCTCTATCTATAATACTTTGCTGTAACAACGTACATTTCTCCTTTGGGGGTCAGATAGAGGAATTCTGAGTCTAATCAACTCAGCACAGTGGATGGCTCCCTGACTCACAGGTGACTTCATTACTCTGAAATTCACTTTTGGTATTTGGACTATTTGGTTACTTAACAAAATGGATAACATGTGTGTCATTAAATAAAAGCTTGAGTTACAGACAGTTATTTTTGAATGGAGCACATACATTAAGGAATTGGTTTTGTTTTGCCATCTTATCTAAGTCATCTCTGTTGTCCAGGACAGAGAAAGGCCCAGAATGTGTTAAGCCTAGCTTAGCGCAAATACTTAAAGCAGGGGGGAACTTCCAGCCTCCTGTCATCAATAACGGAGTGTCACTGAAGTCAAAGTAATTACATATAAATGTATCCGAGTATTCACAAGTATCGTGAATTGAAATCTATATCCGTGAGGATTTTACCTCGAATCTCCTCTCAAAGTTCTGGAACTCAAACATTCTGGCTTGAAATCCTTCTGCAAGAGCCCCCCCTGAAACATAACAAGAAATGCAGTGCTGTAAAAAACATCAACACCGAATAGATGTCCCTCCAGACAGGACCACTGTGGTTCAGCTGGGATGTTTATTTTAACTCAGGCAGGTACCGTAATTTTCGGACTATAAGCCGCGCCTTTTTCCCTATTTTTCGACGCTGCGGCTTATATAACGGTGCGGCTAATCTATGGATTTTTACAGCTAACGGCCAACACCTTTAACTCTATGGGCTCTATGGCCGGTCCGCGGACCCCCACCTTTAAGCGGCGGGTTCCAGCAGGAAAAGCTGGAGGCCGGAAAAGAGTGAGACAGGTAGCGCGCAAAAGTAAAAGTGGAACCGAGAGTGGTATGCCGCTGCTGCGGCTTATATTCAGGTGCGGCTTATAGTCCGAAAATTACGGTAGTCAGAGTTGAAGGAAAATGTTTTTGGTGAAAATGTGCCAATACAGCCTTTTCAACATTTAAAATTGAAAACATATTTCAACCAAATATTAGGAATTACAGTATTTTCAACTGACATTATGAAAGGAGAAACTTAAAGATGTCCAATTGAAAGAGATTTGACCAAAAACATGGAACATTGCGTTTCATTTCATTTAGCTGTTGCTTTTATCCAAAGCGACTTACAATGATCCAAGAGGAAACAAATTCAGAACAGCATGAATCCTGCGAGCAGTTTTTAAGTGCTATATACAGAAATGAGGTGTGGTCCAAACAGCTGGGCTTCCAGTCTGCAAAACAGAGGAAAGCCCAACATCTGAGGTTTATCCCAATTGATTATCTGGCCTCCTTCTTTCCCTCACTTGCATCTCACCCTCGCGTCTCTCTTCCTCGCGTCTCACGTCTCACAGGGGCAGCACTAAGAGACAGAGGAGTCCTCAGGTAGGAGTTGGGATATCTTCGTTCACTCCAGCCTCCCCTTAATTGTCCCCTGGGATTTAGTTTTCACATGTTAATTGAAATGAGTTCATCCATCTCTTTTACTATAGTTTTCAATTTATTCTTTTCGGTCCTGTATTTGTTTTTTCCAGGTATACAATTTAAGTTCTAATAATAATCATAACAATAATATTAATTTCAGTATGGTATTTTAGCTTGTTTCAGATCAACCTTTGCATTGGGATTTTTTAGGTACGTTATCTGTATTTTTATTTATATATATATATATATATATATATATATATATCCTAAATGTTTGAAAAAAAAAATGTTTGAAAAAACCACGAATAAGAACTTTAAGTAATTATTTTATAATCAAACCATTATTATTACATTTGTAAGTATATTTCCTACACTTTAATGTTTTTATAAAGTATACTCTCCTCATTCATTTAAAAGATTTATATATTTGCGTCTTATTGAAGCACTTTAAGCATTTCCTGACTCTGATCTTCCTTTAACAGAACAGCTGCAGTGAGCAGAAGGCTGTGCAGCTGGGGGCGGAGCTTTGATTCAGAACAGCTGCAGCGAGCAGCTGGGGGCGGAGCTTAGATTCAGAACAGCTGCAGTGAGCAGAAGGCTGTGCAGCTGGGGGCGGAGCTTTGATGCACAAGTAGCAATAACACTTCCGTGTAGTCTGCACTTGTGTATCCTTCCTCGTCTCCTCTGGAAGCCTCCTCCCTCCTCTCTCCTCTCTCATCTCTCATCTCTCCTCAACGTGTATTTAAGTGATTGGGACATCCTTCAACATGGTGTGTCTCGATCTATTTCCAGGTCAAGTCACCGTGGAGAGAGGAGTCGAGGAGGGACATTGGGGTGAACCTCTGATGAACAATCATCTTGTCATATCACCTAGTACAAGCTTTGTCATATTGCACACTGAATAGCCCCCCCACCTGCTTCAGGCATCCCTTGAGCCTTCTGCACACGGGCCTGCAGGACTTCTTTTGCAGAGACGAAGAAGATGCGGTCGCTGGCCTGGGCCCTGTCCACCACACCCAGCTCCTCCACCAGAAAATTGCTGCAGCGGTCCATATGCTGTCTGCGGACCTGACAACATAATACACTTTTTATTATTTATGAATACATTATTGAAATGATAGAATGGAACCACTGAGCGTCTGAGATGCTGGCATGCACTTTTGTTTGTGGTAAAATGTGGTCCATTCAAAAACCTGTGAATGGACAACACATACAATTTATTTGGGAGTGTGGAGTTTTTTCCCAACCACAGAGACATCCAAATGTAAGTAAATAAAACCTAACTGTAGTAACAACATGGCTAAATAACAGGGTTTGATCAATTCTACCAAACCGGTTCCAAAGGTCGGTTCCGGGCTAAAGCCTGATTAAGCTTTAGTTTTTCCTGTTTACACCACAGCGGAGCCGGCTCCAAGCACCAAAAACCAGTTCTTAGCTGTCCCCACTCGGCTGCCCGGCAAGAACCAAGAACCGCATACGTCACGCTTACGTCGGAGGGGGGGCAAGATTAACCAGAGCAATAACAGTTCATGGCGAGTATGACAAATGAAAGTCGTAACAAGCAGTAGCGCTGAGCAAAGTGACTAGAACGCAAACACACAATTATAAAAAAAAGAACACACTTTATAAAGTCAGGCAACACTAACCAGGCTTAGTGTGATTCTGTTTATTTGTACCTTACTTTGACCATCCGTTCGCTGTGATTGATTACAGAGCCTTCTCCGTTGCTGCACCCACCCTCTGGAACTCACTACCCCAATCCATCAGAGATTCTTCTTCCCTCACAGCATTCAAATCCCACCTGTTCAACACTGCATCCAACCACTGACCACCCCCCCCCCTATTTTTTGTTTTTGTTCATCTCTTTTTTTTATTCTCTGTCAAAAAGCGCTATACAAGTCTCATGTATTATTATTATTATTGTGGAGAGCAGGCAGACGTTTTCCTGTTGTTTTTTATTATAGCAGCTGTTTTAATCATTAATCATTGTGTTTTTTTGGGGATGAAATTAACGTTTTTTTTACCCCCTTTTGTCTATAGGTTACTTAATTATTTCCTTTTACTGCTTCAAAAACTTTGTTTGAAGGTGAATATTATCCTTTCTGTTAACCTGTTAATTTATAATTCATAAATACTAAAGACTCATAGAAAAATAGGACAAGACAAAGAACCTGTGATGGCCATTGCGAATCTCTATCCTGGTGAAAAGAAGTTTAACAAATATTGTATTTATCAATAATACTTAGGGCATAATTCCACAGCGAGGTTCTTGTTAACTTTTACAGAGGAGCAATAAATCCTGAGTGGAAACATGACTAACGGGCACGGGATGACCCCAGGACAGGAGGCTCAGCGGTCAGTTTAAACCAATCTACTGAGCATCAGCGATATCGATATCCAAAATATATTAAAAGACAAAACTTGCCTGTGACCCTGCTGCAGTCTGAAAAAATATACTCAAGTACCAGCTGTTCTTCAACCAGACCACAGGGCAGCCTGGGTCTTAAAGGCCACCAGCTTTTATTCACCGTCGTTTTAATATTGCAGTCGTTTTTTGCCGATATAATATATTTTAATGTAGCATTAAAGGTCCCATGTCATGGCCATTTCTACTGATCATAGTTCCATTGTTGAGGTCTACTAAAATAGATGTATATTGTGCAATGTTCCAAACTCACATAGGTTTCTCATGCAGCATCTCTGTAAAGTATGTGTATTCACTCTGTCCTAAACGGCTCGTTGGAGCTCCTGGGGCAGCATAGACAGGTCTTTTCTGTGTTAGAGTTTTACTCACTACAGGGTGTACTTTGAGGGTTTGTGACTCTGCAGACCGTTTACATGCATAAAAAGCTACATAACAGACAAGGGGACGGCTAATAACCGGAAAAGCATGACATGGGACCTTTAAGCTTGACATGCGGTCAAAAGGCTCTGTTGAAGAATAGGAGTAAATGAGCCTTGATACAATTCACGTAGACATCCCTTTTACTCCTACCAGTGGATCATGCAAACGCCACAAAAAAAAGTAAATGATGGCATGCTAAAAGCAGACTGACCTCCTCCATGTATTCAGGTTCTGAGGCGGAGGCGTCCCAGCGGTTGTTGAGGATGAAAATGTTGGGACTGGAGAGCCGCTCATTGACTTTGTGAAAGAAGGACTTCTCCTGTAGTACGACAGAATTAAAAAAAAAAGACTACTTGTTAGAGAGAATAATCCTGAGGAGCTTTGTGTGACTAGAACAAGAGAAGCTGGTCCAGTGCACTTTCAATCATGCTGAGCACAGCTTCGTGAACTGTGGGGATAACCCCTTCCACTTTGTCAGCTGGTGTCAATCAGGCATTGGAACTCGAGGATTGTAATCATCAACTGATACACTGAACACTCCATCAGCTGCAATTTAATTTTTTGGAACAATAACAAAGAGTTCATAGTTGCCATCATTCTGAGCGCTGCTGCCTACTCCACCAATCACATCGCATAAACACAGCATCACAGAGAAATTACCGTCTGTATTGAAAATATTAACAATGGGATTCCTATATTTCCTTGTAACAGTGCCTGAACAAACTACGCTTAGTTTGCTCGGATGCAAAACTCAAACTAATTTACCCACATCTCTAAAAACGGGGGTACAACAGAGCTGATCCAGATTTGCTGAGAACTTGACGACATATCGGAAATGTGCGATTTGTTTTTTAAGTAATATTGTCTGTGTTTACATTAGCAAGCATCGATAACACTCAGAGCCAACCTGTACTGGAGAGAGTATGTGTAAAGAAGCCGGATATAGAAAGGTACTGTCCGTGTGCTAAACCCGCGAGAGACAAAAGAGTTTGAGCTCCATACTGTTTCAGAAATAATGCTTGATGTGGTTTGGAACATAATATGGCATTTCATTACGGCAGACCTGGGGATACAGGGTGTCTCCCCCCTCTCATCATGAGAAATGAAGATCACAGGTTAATGAAATGGCCAAGCTAATGGCGTAGCTAGGAGATAAACGGAATATCTGGAGTTTAATTTGCTTTATGGAAACATGCAGCAGGATATACCTGCCAACAACGTTTCCATTGTTGGCCTCTGGACTGCTCGAGAGCTTCACGATGTCTTCAACCTGAGCCTGAGTCTGTTTTAATTGTTGTGTTTTTTTATCTTTACTTGACATTTGCAGCTGTAATGTCTCACCGTCTGCATCAGTGTGGACTCAGAGTTCGCCACCAGAACAAACACATCAGCATCCTGGCAGAACTTATCGATCCAGCTGTCCAGTTCAGTGGTTACATCTATACCTGGGCTGGAGGAGAATCAGAAAGTCAGAACATCAATAAAGCTAATGTGACAAACTGTAAATGTAAATAAGTGTTGTGTTCATTAAATAGTGTAACTGATGTCTGACCTGTCCACTAACACCAGGTCATCCCTGAGCAGAGCACACTTGGCTTTAGGCCACATGACACACACCAGGCTGCCAGCGTCTAGGTCCTCATCCTGGTGGAGGGCGTGGGCCAGCTGGTTCACCGTCTACACACACACACACACACACACACACACACACACACACACACACACACACACACACACACACACACACACACACACACACACACACACACACACACACATGCACACACACACACACACGCAGAAAATGTCACAAAAACATACCAAAACTGAAAATGTTGCTAGGGGAACTGCAACGTGGGGGTGGGATATACAAGATGTGTTCGATGTTAGGGGGGCTAAATGATGGGTCAGATGAATCAAGGAGCTGACATGTGTCTGCATTTCAGGTATAAGCAGCATCAGCAGCAGATGAAAAAAACAAAGGATGTCCAAGCCAGTTATATGTTTGGTTTAAGGGAGACAGAGCCAAGGCTTGCACAAAGCCTACTGTAGGTTATATATCAATTACAAAGTCTCCTGTAGTTAAATCCAGGTCATATTTTATGCTCTTTTATGGCACCCAACATACAATTTCTAGAAAGGGGAATCAAAAGCAATACTGACAGTCATTCCTCTAACAAACCATAAAAAGGAGGTTCAAAGGAAGTTCATGGCATATCTTTGCAGATCTTGGAGAGAAGAAATATTTGAGTTTCTGCCTTGTGACTTACATAGAGTGTGGAACTAAACAAGGCTTTGATGACCCACTCTAATGGGGTCAGCACCACCCAGAGAGAGTCCTATAGCCCAGCCAATGGATCTCATCAGATGTCATTCCCCCCCCTGCCAGACACTCACATACTATTGGGTTCTTGAAATGCATGGGGAGAAGGAGTAAGGTGAAAAGGTTAGAAGTCTGGCAAAGGGGGAGCAGGGCAAAGCAGCCGTTGTGCATCACAGGTGACAGGATTAATGTGTCTTTCCTTTGAGTTAAAGTCGCCTGGTTCAATGATTCGATGATTTAATTCACACTGGTTGTTTCTAACATTGATAGAACAAAACCAAAAGAACATTTTTATTCATATTGCAGCAACAGACACGTATCTTAAATATTTTTTTAGCTAACAAGCTACGATGAAGGCACAGTAAATGTAATATTGGCACTATGAACATGAGTTAGCAACAAATGTAATGCTAAATCCCCAATGGTCTTTGTGTGAAATGAAATGCAGCACCTGAGTCCCCTGAGGCTTTGAAGTCTACATTTAGCATTCTGGACTGAGGGTGTCTTGCAAAACAGCTGTCTTTGTTGTGCTAAATGTATGCCCCTAAAAGTGTGTTCACCCTGGAGATGCACCCTCATCTTGACATCAAATAAATGTTTTAGTTTTTTTCGCCATTATGAAACTAAATAGATGTCTAGATTACATATACTTTTTGTAATACCTTATTAAAAAGTGTTTCTCATTTATCAATCCAATAGGCTTTGAATAAATATGAATTATTTTGTTTATATTCTATTTTCTAAATTAAAGCGTGATTAATCCAAAAGCTTATATACAGTAACTCCTGTAACATACATGATCACACTTTAAGAGGTAACTGTCACTAAGTAGATGTACTTGAAATAAATAATACTGCAGTTGTTGTTGGCAGTAGCTATTTTCCAGAACAGTAAGTCCAAGATGTCTGTAGGACGTGAGCATTTTATTAATATTTGGCATTTGGAGATGCATCTACAGAAGAGTACAAAAGAGCCATTAGAGTCCCTGCCATTAATGTCCAATTTGAAAATTATTCTCACTCTGCCTACCTGCCTTCCTGTTAACTTAATGTATGGGTGACCTTTAAATGCAGATGCATCTTTGATAACAAATAATCTTTTTGCTATATTTTCCATTCAGATGACAGCTACCACTTCCTCTCTAGATTCACTGCAGTGTAGAAGCAACCCTTTAATTCTTAATCACGCTAATTATGTGCAATTAGACAATGGGGATGGGAAATATTCATGGGGCACTTAACTTTGCCTTTCTTCTCCAACAGGATATTACTCAAGAGTCCTTGTGAACTGCAAAGTGGTTCATGAGTCACTCTGAACAAAGTCTGAATGCATAGTGGACACATTTCGGCAACGTTTCAAAGCCTGGGTGGTGGCATATGGTGTCTTGCATTGTTATATAACTTAGGTTTCTACATCATGTTTTCAATCAAAAGAGAACACTAGACACAAAGTAACACTATGCCACTTGGCGATGTCAGAACAGAGAATGTGTCATTGTGTATGCTGTCTTTACTGCAAAGCCCAACTCCCTTTTCACATGAAAGGTGGAATGGCCATCTGACAGTTTTGGCTCAGTAAAGCCCTCTGCAGTGATGTGCTGCTCTCCCAACACAGGCACAAAATGGAAGGATCTGTTAATAGTGCTGTCCACATATTGTAATACCATCTGTTCCATGGCAGGCCATCGAGGGGTTTGACATCAAATTGACTGTGAGGAATGAATTTCCATGCTCTCTCTCTTCATTCCAACTTTAACATTCTCGGAAGAATTGAAGTCGACAAAAAAGAGGCGTTCATAGCTTCAGCACTTATGCTAGTGCCAATTCTACAAATGTGAAAAACAACATACGATAAGGACCTACACATTTTTTTGTGCTGCATTTTACTTTATGTCTAAAATATTCTCTTTGACCTTAGTTGTAGTTTTTTTGAATGAATTGCAGATTTCTTTAAAAACTCATTGGTTGTTTCATTGTTCAGCTTTGAAAATAAATCTTTGGGGAACACTTGGCTGCTTGTGCATTGTGCGTGGGTGCCTATGTTTTTTTGTATTCTATTATGAGCCACTAAATGCTTATTATTGTTCCTGAAAGGAGTAGAGGTAAATTCTTCTCCCCTTCTGTATTGAATTGAAAACAGTCAGATAATAGATTATTTCCACACATTTCTATAAACATAATTCATCACCAAGAAAGCAAAAATAAATTAGGTTTCTGTGCTGTGTGAGATAAACAAGAGCACTGGTATTACATTAATACCACACATCAATAGGTTGCCTGACCTCATCCTGGGAGGAAATACTTCAGGTAAGGGGGGGGTTGGGTGACCACAGAGACATCTAACAAACTTATTCCTTTCGGTTTAAAAAAAACTTGCTTTCCCTAGAGCTGCTATGTTTTAAAAAAAGTGTCTCTCTCTGCATGGGCAGTCTCACTCAGGATGGGACGACTGACGGCTAAACTACAGTCAAAGCCAGCAGTGGAACAGACAGATGTAGTGTATGGCAGACAGAGTGCAGAAGACAGGCAGGTTCATTTTACCATTATGTGGGAATGGCCAAGGACCTTCTGGAAAAGACTGCTTTAATGCCATGATATGTGACACGGATAGATGCACATTTGAAGCCTTCAGCAAAGCACTGATGATAATCGGACTTCTCAAGTCAAAGCAAAACGCTGAGTCCTGACATAGACAGCTCAAAACAAATTATTTTTAGGGAGCTTCCCCTTTTATTTCACTATTAATCCCTAATTTAATCCATGTTATAGTCCTCAATTACATTGACTTTTATAGATTTCTCCTCATTGTCATGGAAGTGATAACACAATACATCAAGTCAACAAGAGTTTAATTAAATAGCCTGGCTTCATTTTTCCTCTCAGATTTCTGTGCGGGGTAGGGGCGGTGGGAACTGAAGGAGGAAAGTCTCTGCCTGTAAGCATTAATTGTACAGTCTCCCTTGACATGAGGAGGAATATTGCTAGTGGGAGCAATGGACTGTGTCATTTTAATGCCCAATTTAGCTTGAGCTAAGACGTCCCGCCAGCCAAATCAATTGCTTTTTCTTTTTTTTTTACTGCTGGGGCCTTTGTTGATGAGTTATATCAGACAAAAGAAGCAATGAGCTTTCATCAGGAGCACTTTGTGTTCAACTCTGACATATGAAAGACATTTAGAAGTATATAGATAAAGTCTTAAGGTTAGGGTTTAGTGGCAGGAATGGCCAACCATTACTTCCATATATAACTGCCCATTCCTCCACTGTAGACAAATAGTCCACTTACTCTCATAACATTTTAAAAGATGTTTTGCTGTCACATTCTGATTGGTTGCATGCTGTGTGGCAAATGCTGTTTGTTAAAATTGTCCTTAAACCAAACAAACAAAGTCAATTTTAGGGCAAGAGTAGCACCACTAGAGATTGTCAAGGTATTTTCTCTATCGTGGTAATGCCAGTGTTAAATCCAAAAAGCCAAGAAAACCGCAGCTTTTCTTGTGTTTGCCATAGCACTAGTGTGGCATGTTTGATACATGGAAATTATGATGCGACATAATCACAGCACTTATGCCTGCAGGGTTAATGAGACTGTGAACAAACACTTTGATACACAATTAAAGTGGCCCCCTAGTTTTCAATTGAAACTAGTGATGTGTCGGTCGCGAACGAGCCGATTCTTTTGAACGGCGCTTTGGTACGAACGAGGGGAACCAAGTCGTACTTGGTGAGAGACGTTCTTTTTATCGTTCAATCGTTGGTCCGCACTCACTGCCTGCCAAAATCCACTCGCCTTTTAAAAAGCTTGATTTTGACTTTATTTACTTAACACATAGCCTACAGAGGGTCAATTCAAAGTACATTCACTGACATGATGACATGGATATGGCGCCACCTTGTGTCATGTTTACAATGCAGATTATTGACATTAGGTCTGGCAATACAGTCAATCATTATCCTGGTGATTATTTCACAGATAAACCTAGTAACCCCGCCCCCTTTAAAAAAGAAAACGGCTCTTTTGAACGGCTCTTTGAAAGGAACGGAGCCATAAGATCCGGCTCCCTTCAGACAGCCATAATTCCCATCACTAATTGAAACATAACTAATCAAATCCTACAGAGCTGACTTCCAGCTGTGCAACCACAGCTAGGTCAGAGCTAAACAAAAAACTAGCAACAGAAATTTCGGATGAACCTATTCCATTTTCATTAAATTGTTTGTTTTAATAAGAGCAATGAGTTTCAAGTTCATGACACATGTAGACACTGACATACAGAGGGTCATGCATACATGGAGCAGATGGAAAGATGAATCTACACTGTGGTGAGTGAAGAATATGTTGTACATCGGCAACAAGCACATTGTGCGCAT